GCTCGCTAGCTGAGTTATGAACACATCAAATGCAAGCTGGGCTTCCGCCAAAATGCACCTTCTCTACAAACTGTGCGCCTCCTAGGGCTGATACCATCGGCGCGCTGCTTCTCTAGTGATAAAGCACAGCGGCACCTCCCAGTGCCATCGGCAAAGCAGGCTCTTGAGAACAAAAGCCGACCGATATTGTCAATGTCTTACATACAAAACAGGGATGGCAGCCAAAAATACCACGCGCTTGCCCAATGTGTTTGCTCAGAGGAGCTCAAAGCGCTCGGCAAACGTCAACGGAGCCTTGCTGCATGGGTAAAGATTGTTGTGCCCATTTTACAGATTGGTGACCTGAGGCATGGAGACTGAGACCTGCTCAAGCCATTATGTGAGTCAGTGGCCAAGTAAGGAATAGAACCCAGGAGTCCTGACTGCCAGTCCCCTGCTCTAGCTGCTAGAGACCACTTCCTTACCAGAACTGGGAACAGAATCCCGGCATCTTGGCTCTCAGGTCTCCTGCTCCAGTCACTAGAAACCACTTCTCTCCCAGCGCTAAGAATAGAACTCAGAAGTCCTGACTCCCACTCCACCACCCCACTTGCCCTGTTTTGCCTTTTCTGCTATTTATTATTATTTTTAAATAGGGAAGCCCTGTCTCTTCCCAGTGTGAGCTCTGGGCATTATCTCCTGGAGGGGAGGAGCTTGCGAAATACCAGCACTTTTCTGGGCTCACCACTGTCTCTATTAATTTAAAAGCTACAGCATGCAGTAAAACCAGAGGTTGCAAAGGCCCATTATAGAGATGGCCTGAACCAAAACCTCAGCTCCAAACACCCCCGGACTTTGGAAATATCTTAATTCAGATTAGAATTTTGGAGGTTTAATTCTCCTCTGCTTTGGAGCTTGTGTTGTCACTTGCTCTTGGGCAAAGTGGTTGTATCCTGCAACCAGATCCACACGGCTGCATTTTATACCCACACTGAATTCCCTTTATCCGGGTGTAAACGAGGAGAGGAAATGCAAGGCCCCGGAGAATTGGGGATCTTTATAATCACACCTCTGGATTGACACATCCACAAACTTCATCTGCTGCAGCATTTGTTCTACAATAATGAGGCAGGTCCAGTCCCTTACTAAGCTGAGCTCTAAAGACAGCAACTCCACTAGACTGAGCAAAGGCCAATGTCCTAAAGCCGCGATTTTCAAAGTGACTGGTGATTTTGAGCGCCTCAATTTCCAGGGACCAAACTTGAGATGCTTTTAAAGAGCCCGGATTTCAGACGACAGGTGCTCAGCACTTCCCCAAAATCAAGCCCCCTTAAGGTCTGGGCACTGAAAAACGGAGGCATCCCAATCACCAGTCACTTTGGAAAAACCTGGGGTCTGGTGATTAGGGATTTTTTCCCCCCTGATTCAAAATGGCATTTGAAACATGGCAAGGGAGATTACCATAAGAGTATGCATGTTTCTTACACTAACGTGTAGCAGGCAGCATTTAGGTTGTAATCAAGAGTGCTTTGGTATGGGAATAAGTAAAGATCGCACTTCTTGGAGGCATGAGTCCAAAGAGATGCTCTGGACTGGTGGTACTGCTGTGTGGAATAAAGGATCTAACTCGTTACGGGGATTGGTGCTCTGGTTTTCTGTCAAGTGTCCATCACACATAATAGTGAAGTGAAATGCCTGGATTTAGTTTGGGGCAGATCAGTTTCACCAATGCATGGTGCACCCAGAGCTCTTCGGGAGATACTTGGCCTTCTGTTAGGCACATGCTCTGTGTTATATACATCCTACTTATAGACAGCTGATTATGAATAGAGCTGAATGAATAACTGACTGTTTTGGTTCAGTGTGTGAACCAAAAAAATCTGAAAGAAAATTCACATTGGGTTAAACTAAATGCTTTTTTTGATCTAAAATGAATGGATGGGTTTTTACCTTTCTTATTTCTGTTATTTAAAATAAATCTACCTAAATGTCTACTCCAAATGTCAAAACAAAAAAGGCAAAACATCTCATTTAGAAAATAAAACAAAATTCTGTATGCAGTGTTGTTGTACCGTGTCCATCACAGGATATTAGAGACAAGGTGGGTGAGGGAACATTTTTTATAGGACCAGCTTCTCTCTCATCAGCAGAAGCTGGTCCAATTAAAGATATTACCTCACCCACCTTGTCTCTCTAAAACAAAATGTGTTGACTTTATATATATATATATATATATATAGGCCCAATATATTCACCGAATTTCAGCCAAATTCACAAATAGTTTTGGTCAAACAGAAACTGTATTTTTTTAGAGAATAACCTATTTGTCTGAAAAACTTTGCCTGGCTCTAAATTATGAGCTTCAGAGCTGGAGAGAAACAGCACAAGCCCTTGTAACTAGGGAGAGGGCACGGTCTCAAGACTTAGCTCAAGGCAAAACTCCTACTGACTTCAGGACTCTGATGAGCAGAACAAGGACTGAGTAGAGACTTCCTTGATGCTGGGGGAGGGGAAAGGCTGCTCCCTCTGTATGGTCGGCTGACTAGGAGATTCAGTCAAGTTTCTTCAAAAAGTCTGACCACACTAGGCCTAGAATCACACTGTATGAGTGGGCTTTGAAAAGGAACTCACATGTGAGATGCTTCCCTGACACATATTGGCCCCAGCAATCCTGCTAAGTGTCTCCCATTGAAGAATGCAATGGCACCGAATATGAGGAGGCAGGGCATAAAGCAATGGGAGGAAACTGAGCAAAGGAAAACGTGTGCCTGATCATCAGCATAAAATGTCCTAAAACGTTTGCCGCTAACTGCAAAGTAACTGTACATGAAAATGGGCACTTGGGTGCCCTGTATTGCATATGCCAAGACCCCCTACTGGAGGGGAGAGTATGATTCCATACTCAGAGAGCATGGGACTGGGAAACAGGAGATCTTGATTCTGTACCCAGCTCTGCCCCTAATTCAGCAACATACTTTTGTGCCTCAGTTTCCTCCATTAAATAGGGTTCGGCACTAGTGCATAGGGCCATCAGGATTCCAAAGCACTTTGAGATTCCCATGGTGAAAAGCTCTATTAGAAATGGAAAGAATTCATTGGCTTGGGGGAAAAATAATGCCAGGGCTGTTTATGGGCCTAGTTTGTGGAAACAAATGAAGTGTATATTATGGAATGGAGCTATGATGAATGTACTGTACTATGTCGCACGGCCCTTCCCACAGCTGTGTGTGTTTCACCGGTCACGTCCTATAGGGCAGTATCTAACACAGGAATGCAATACGATTCAATTGGGCTTTTTTGCACAGGTCACTTAAAAGACTCCCATTCAGTCGCCTGGGTTGATCTCTCTCTAAAATTAAAGCTATAGCAACAAACCACTTCCTTTTTACACATAGCTCCAAAAATTATCTTCCCACCTCCCCCTCATCCCCCCACCCCCCATAAAAAATAAAATTATCAGCCCTAAGAGGAACTGTGTGAGTGGGAGGAGATTTCTGGGAGGGTCTCACCTCAGGATCTGCTCCGAGCCTCTTGATCTTTATCTGCACATGCTATTTCTGCCTCAAGACTCCTCCAGCGCACAGCTGCCACCAGTAGGTGCATGAGGGGTCACTATTCATGAGTGGAAGGGGAACTGACGAAAGATACTGTGCTGCACCTCTTTGGCTTTTTGATCTTGGTTTCAAATAAGTTCTGAAGTCTAATCAACTTCTATTCTCCTCTACTTTTCCCCCCCTCAAACTGAAAAATCAGTACAAAGTTCAATAACAAAATCTGCTTGCCTAGATTCCGAAACAAATAAGGACAAAATGTTCCAATATTGCAGGGGAAAAAGCCAGCCATCAACACACTTGAAAAGCTCTCCACAGATTGTGTGCATGCCCAGAGTCCCATTCTGCCAGCCTTGCTCACAGTGAGTAAGGACAGATGGAGGCTAGTTTTGCTCTTGGAGTACTGTGCAATATAGCATCAGAAAGAAGCACTTCACGAATGTATACGGCCTAATTCTCCATTGCCATACACCTGTTCTAAGCGAATGGCAAGTGCTAATATTCGGTGTATGTGACAGCATAAAGGGTAAAGCCATGAAAAATCAGACTCTTTACACCTCCATCACTCTCCATTCCCAAGGCTACAAAAGCCTTTCGCAACCTATACTCAGACTGTGCAGTGCTTCTCAAAATGCAGCCACCTCTGGGGTGGAGGGCTGCAGAGAAGTTGACGGCGCACTGCATAACAGTACGGAGAGGAGAAAAATTGTCCTAGATGATGATGAAAACACCTATCTTGAAAAGTAAGGGGCCTGGCTCTCCAGCGCCTTGCACATGGTGTATTCACAGCTGTGCAAAGTAAGGGTAAATCACTATTGGACTAAGCAAGGTGGCAATTTTGCACCCGCTTTGCACAGGTATAAATGAGACCAAGACCGGCTGGCTCAAGAGACATGATGGGATAACAGGGACTCTCACCTCTAGGTCACTGCTAGGAATCTGCTCTCACAGCAATGCCCAAAAGCTATTTCCTTCCAATAGATAGTTGGAGACTGAAGTGAGACAGCCGGTGAATGGGCCCGTGTCATGACATTGGAACCCAGACTCTGGGCACCTCCAAAGTTATGGGGTATTTGGACCAGCCTCCTTCAGAGATAGGGAACTGAGGTGAAACGCAGACCTTGATGCAGGTTCTCAGAGTGCAGGGCGGAGCTCATCTGTAGTTGGTGCCTCTCAGTCCCGCTCCTAAAGGGAGGTGTCCACATCCCAAACGCCATCGCTAGGACTGGTGTGCTGGAGGCCACTCGAAGGGACCCATTCATCTCTTCCCCTATAAACCCTGCCCCACTCAGTCAGGGCTGAGACCCGTAAATGAGGGGGGATGGTTTGCTCACTGCACCTGTCCTGCGCATCAAAGGCTCCAGTCTGCAAGTCAACCAATCTAACCCCTTTCACCAGCACCAGATTCACTTCTGAACGGAACCCAAGAGCCGTCTCAGAAAGGCTCTGCCCTGGGGCAGGTGACCCTACCTGTGTAGCCAGCGAGGGCAGCAGCAGGAATGACTGGCTTGTCCTTGTTCATGTCGGCCCGGTCTCGAACATAGTCCTTGAAGGTGCCTTTGGGCTTGTGATTGGGCAGCGCCGCGGGGTAGTCCTCAGAATCAAAGCTGTCGTAGGAGGGGACGCGCTGAAGGCTCTGGAAGGACGACTGGCTGTTCCAGGACTGCGTCAGGCGGTCGCAGCTGTCGTAGCTGTCTATGCTCTCGAAGGAGTCCTGGCCCCCTAGTTTACCTGGCAAGCAGAAGGGAGAATGAGAATCGCCCGGCCTGCAAGGAGGCAATTTAAATGAGAAGCACAAATCAAGGTCAGGAGAAGGACAACGCCCCAGGTGTGCACTCCATCTGCCAGCCAGGCAGACGGCAGAAGGAGCCACAGCCCTGCTAACTACATTCAGCTCCAAGCCAGACAAGACACGGCTCTTCCAGTGCACCCTTCACCTCAGAGAAAACGTTAATCGAGCATTGACCTCCATGAGGCTGGTGTATATTTACTGTCCCCATGTTACAGAGCAGGGCAATCTGTAGTTGACAGTAGAAGTGACAGGACTCGCTCCAGGTCACAGAGTGAGTCACTTGTAGAGCGTCAGGAAAAGAACCCAGGAATCCGGACTCCGAGTCTCCACCCCAGATGCAGAGAAATACCCTGAACTGTATTTGTGGCCACCTAAATTTGACCCACCTTCTGAAAGGGGATTGCTCTGGGGCTTGAAGAGAAATACACCACTAAAAACGGACAGGCAGGACCACGTGTTTCGAAGACAGGTGTGGAAGCTACAGCCACAATGCAAAGGAAAATCCTAGCGCCACACCTGCAGGATCTGGGTTTGAATCCCCTGACCTGACCATTTGTACAACACCATAGGCTTGCATGACACTTTACAAAGCCCTGGAGAGCTTACATACAAACAGGCATATCCATAGAGTAAATTAGGCAGTTGCACATTCCAAATGGTATAAGCGGAGGTACGATTCATGCCCCGTGCAGAAGGCTAGCACAAGGTCCCACTGAGCTTCATTCTCCGTTTCTTTGCTACAAGACTCTATTGCCAAGTTTTATTGCAGGAAATCATAACAGAAGCTCTTAGCACCCCAATGCCCCCAAGCACCAGTAAATCTGGGGAGGGGGGAGAGATGTGGGTTGAGTTTTTGAGCAACTATTTTTTCTCCTCCACGAAGGTGCTCACATCTGGGCTACACTTATGCTACTGATTGTTTTCTATACAGAGAGCAGTATATTAGGGGCCAGATCCTCAGCCAGAGTAAAGCAGGGAGCTCTGCTGAATTCAATGGAGCTATGTTGATTTACACCAGCTAAGGATTGGGTTCCCTGTATTTCAAAAAAAAGTGCAGGGGGCTAAAAAGGGACCCCAAAATAGCCTTCAATTGCACTCTCTGGGTTCCCTTACTCTGCCTGTTGCTCAACCTCTTTACTGACAAGCTAAGAGCGTAACAGGATCATTCAAGTTCATTAATTTCCCAAACTAGGCTAAAAACAGCTGCTGGGATTGTGTAAGAGCTCCTGAAGAAATTTCCACTGGCTGAGCTGCCTGCGGCTCAGACCCAGATAGTAAATCTCACAGGGGAAAGGAGGGCGGAATGGAGCTGGCACGCTCACCCAAATATTTGTTGTGTTCTAGTTTAAACAGCTCTTGCAGCAAGAAAAGCTTAACTAATGTGGGTGTGAAAGCCTATTGACATTTTCTTCAATGACTAATGGGCTGAGTTTTAGGACATTAGCTCCCATTCATCCTAGTGGTGTGTTGACTCTGAAGCCTAATGATGATAAGCTATATGTCAATATTAATTATTTAACTTCTGTCTTGAAGGATTTCAAATTTGAGGTTCCAGCTCAGGTCCATCTCTAATTTACATTATTTTACTACAGGTGACGCAGGTAACGATGCCTATAATTAAGATTGGCCAACACTTTCTATTTATAATTCCTTGTTTTTGATTGCTTAGAACTTGCCAAATTTCATCCATTTGGACTGAAAATGTCCATACTTCAGGATGATATATTTTGGGGCGAGAAAATTTCAGCAAAAATGATTCAGCATTTTCTCAGAACAGGGTTAGAGAAAAAGTGTTTTGCCCATGTTAAAAAATTCATACAACCATTTTGTTGAAATGCTCTAGCCCCTCCGTGCTTTGTAGCAAGAACATGAAATTTGGCAGGGAGGTCAGGCCTTTTGTCATCTATTGAAAATCCACCTCCATTAGGTCAAGTTATGAGCCTTTGAAAAAAATCCCAGTTTGCACATGCTCAATAGAGACTTGTAGTTTGGCAGCTAAATGCTCCAAAGATTCTATCTGCCCTGAGCATGCTAAGATGGGGGGGAAAGTCTGTGATCATGTAATTAAAGACTGTATCATAATGCATATGCACAAGAGGGCCAAATTCAGGTTGCACAGGTAGCCTTAATTCTGGCATTCCTTAGTTTTTAGGGGCTTGAATTTGCAACCTTAACACTCTTCTAATGTTGTTTTTGTATGGAATTTATAAGAAGCTTATAACAAACTTGGGGGCCGGATACCCATTTATACTAAGTCCCCTTTTACACCACTCTGGCAGTATTAAGAGACCTTATCCCTAATATATTTACACCGACATGAGGGTGCATTTACACGATCAGAGCAGGATTTAGTGTCAACCAGAATCCGGACCATTGAGTTTCTTCAATCACAAATGAAATGTTAAGGGGTTCACTGATAGAGGCCTCTCTCCCTGATCCTCTTGCCCTAGCATTAGGTTGAGAGGCTGTTATGTCAGAAGAACGCCCTTTCTTTGAGGCTTGTGGGGCCTGTAGGCCGGTATAAGATTGAGTCATGATAGTGAAAGTCTTTCAATAAGAATTACCAAGATGCCTGCTTTTAACGTTCAAGAGAAGAGAAGGAACCAAATTAGAAGCTGATCTGCAAAAACAGCCCTTGCAAAAGGGCTTGCCTAAAATTGCAGCACAGCTGCCCCTTGGCTCGCCACATCTGCCTAATTTGCCTGTGTTATATAAATGTTTAACCAGCAGAAGTCGTTTTTTAAAAAAATAATCCTCCCAAACAACCTTTCCCCAGCTTGTAAATTAAAGAAAGAAAAGAAAAGAAGAGAATGCAAATAGCCCCATTAGTGTAACATACATGTGACTCCAATGAGTGGAGGCATGATGCTGGGATTGGCAAAGCCGCTTAATTTTTCACAAACATCCAACCCGTGGCATTTTTCAGTTCTTGTTCCACATTAAAAAATTAAACAGATGTAACATTGGGCATCAAGACCAACTCGTATCGACACTGGCATTCTGATAAGTATTGGGAGATACCTGGGTTCTGCTCAGTGTGCAATCTCTGGTAGGTCCCGTTGCTGCTGTGTGCCTCAGTTTATCCATCTGTAAAATCAGGATAATGATCCCCTCCTTTGCAAATGGCTTTGTGCTCTATGGATGACACCCACTCCTTGCATAGGACTGACGAGCCAGATCCTCAGCTGGTGTAAATCAGTGTAGCTGCTTTGACTTCAGTGAAGCCAAATCCACTCAAACCAGTGCAGGATCTGGTTCTGTGTGTTTAGAGTTAAGTAATGTTACCCTAGAAAGGCATTTGGTCTTGGTGTTTAGGGCACAGGAGTTCCGGGTTCTATTCCTGGCTCTGCTAGTGACCTCATCTTGAACTGAGACAGGCCAGTACCCTTCTCTCGGACTCAGTTAACCCACATCTAAAATGGGGATAACAACACTCACCTCACACTGGAGCAGTGAAGATCAATTCATTGGGCCAGATTCTCAGCTAGTGTAAACTGCAGTAGTGCCATTGAAATCAAAGGGAAGGCAGTGCTACCTAGTGGATAGAGGACTGGACTGGAACTCAGAAGACCTAGGTTCCATTCCTGGCCCTGCCGCTGGCCTGCTGGGTGACTTAGGGCAAGTCACCTCACCGCTCTGTGCCTCAGTTTCCCCAGCTGTAAAATTATATGGGCCTCCTTTGTAAAGCGCTTTGAGATCTACTATTCATTATTATTATTTTACACCTGCTGAGGCTTTGGGACGTTATATGTAACCCTGGGCTAATACTGTGGAACTCGTTATGGGGCACTGATGGTTTCTTTGCCTGTGACTCCTGAAAAGGAACATCCAGGGTAGAGGGGACCCTCGTGCGTGTACAGGGGAAGTGAGGGAAACACCCAGGGTGCAGGGAGGTGTGGAAAACCAAGCAGAGACTTTGGAGATGCCAGGCCCTTACCTCGACTGGTGCGCCCCATGCACATGTTATCTGGCGTTACAACTTCCTGCTTGATCGTGAAGTAGTCTGTCTGCAGGGAGTCCGTCTGGACAGGGTCACGCAGGATGACCGACGGGTAGTCATTCTCGTACTTGAGGGAGAAGAGCTCCTCTGAGCTGATTGGATGGAGGGTCTGGTAGGACTCTGTGATAAAGCTGGGCTCAGAGAACTCTGACGGAGGCACGCACTGTGCGTGCTCAATGCCATAACCTGCAGGGGAAACAATTGGGTGAGTTAGTGTTAGCTATTGACCAAAAAGACAATGACTCAAAGCTAAACAGACCACTGCTGTTTCTACCTCTCGTCTCCTGTAACATGCTGATATTGTGAGATCTTTGGGTCTATTTTTAATAACTATTATCTGGATGTACAGCACCTACCACAAAGGCACCCTGATTTCAGTTGGGGCTGCTAAGTGCTACCACAGTACAAATAATAAACAGTAACCATAAGAAGAACTCCCGTTGTCTTCAGTGGACACCAGATTGGGCCATAAGCAAATAGGAGCAACCTCAGAGTTGTTATGGGAGGAAGGGTTGGATAAACCACCAGGGGGAGGCTCCCAGCAGTTTCCCCAGGAAATGGAGTATGAAAAGGAGGAGGAGGGTCCTTGACATCACAGTGGAGCTGGATGCCAATTGACATGGCAGACATGGCGGTTGCTCACCTTCACAATCACTAGGAGAGAATGTGCGTCATCATTAGGTTCCAGAGTAAACATCACGTTAGGATAATTGGGAGCAGTGGGATTCACGCAAGGGTTGCACTGCTGTTCTATGCAGCATGCTGGAGTAGGATTAGCACTTCCTTCCTTCCTAAAAAGCAGTGGCAGCCAGGAGAATACCCCCTGTAGAATGACATCTCCCTGCTCTACACTTATTCTCCTTCAACCACTTTTAGATGAAACCTGCTGTTTACACACCAAAAACAAGATTTCCTCTCACTGCTGGCCCAGCAAGCTTCACCTGGCATCAAAGCCAAGCGAGTTGCTTTCTTCTCCAACCCTCCCCGCTGACCAGAGAGAGTCTGGAATCCAAATTTAGCTGATAATTCTGTCAATAGTGCATGAAGCACAATAGAACCTTCCCTTGCTGTATGGGCTCTGAAGGGCTGATGCTGGGGGTTGGATCATGCCAGATCAGGGACCCAGCACTTTCCCCGGATGACTGCCATCTGGTGCTCCAGAATCTAAACCTTCATGTAAATGATTTTAAGGTCCACATTTTCAAAAATGCCTGGATTTTGAGGTACCCGATTTGAGACACTGTGGGCCTGTTTTTCAGAAATGCTAAGAACCCACAACTCTACCCAAAATCAGTGGGAGGGGCAGATGCTCTGAAAGTCAGGTCCTAAGGGTCTCAGATTGATTGCCCAAAATCCAGGCAACAAAAAGCGGAGACCACTTCTAAAAATGTAGGCTTAAGTCTTTAGACCGATGAAGTGATGTCTGTCTGAGACTGCAGACCTTCTGAAGCAACAGCTTGAAAGTGTGCACTTCTCCTGGTCATCCTCAGTGACTGTTAACTCTGAAGCCTAATGATGACCCCCACCATTCACTATCTTTCTGATGATCAAAGGACACAAGACAGAAGAGGGATAATCATACTATGAAAGCTGCACATTCTGCCATGACTGGGGCAGTAATTTGTCAGCACACAAATCAGGTGGGGCTCAGAAGACTGAGAAAAGAGATAACCCTAGAACAACTGTCACTTTTCTAACCACTTCCAGCTATTTTAAATAGGCTAGTGGCCAGCTGACTGTAAGCCAGATGCAATCACGTTAATACGCTGGACTATCTGGAGGAAAAGAGGAGCAGCTTTGGGAAAAAGGGGCTCAGACTTACTAATGAAGTAGTCCGATGTATAGCGGGATTCTGGGTATGCGGGGTTCACTCCGTTAGCTGAGTATGGCTTTATCTCATCTAAAAGAAGAAAGGGAAGTTAAAGAAACAAGCTCATAGGAATCTCACCTTTGCTGAAACTCTGTTACATATGGAGGTCAGAATTTCCAAAAGCATTCAGGTTCCATTTAACCTGGGATTTTCAAAGGCTCAGAAGCAAGTTAGGTGTCCAAATCCCCTTGAACTGGGTGCCTAACTCCCTTAGATTCTTTGGAAAAACCTAGCCATAGGCCCCAATGAGTAGCCTGATTTCTGAGAGTGCAGAATAGGATTCCGATCTCAGCCGGAAGCTCTAGGCACTATTGAAATGTTATTAATTACTTGGTGAAAGCCCGTGCAGTTGTACAGGTGATATGGATCAAGTGTAAAAGAGCTGAAGACTGAACCTGGTGATATTCAGAACAAAAAGAGCTCTCAACCAGCTCTTCACACTGGCTCAACATTCTAAGCTTCAGAGCGACAATCAAGTCATCTTGCTATATAGATTATTATTATATGTTAATTGTTTTGTTTCCATTAATTTTGGCTCCTTTTCATTCTTTGGCCTTTTTTTTTAAAATGAAAAGCAGGGACACATTGTTCCAGAAAATTTTCCTCATTTTTCAACCAGCTTTAGTTGTGTGTGTATGCCCAAAACACGCCTGTGTTTTGGGCATACACCCCTCTGCTGCTCCTGCCCTGCTCATGCGCAAAGGAAAAAGTGCAAGGCACAGAAGACGCTGTTCCTACATTCATTAGACATTGCTGCAGAGCCACCAACTTACTCCTACTGAATACTCTTTGGCGTCTGTAAGGTAGCACCTCAGAGTTACAAACACCAGAGTCACGAACTGACCGTCAACCACACATCTCATTTGGAAACAGAAGTACGCAATCAGGCAGCAGCAGAGACAAAACAAAAGACAAAAAAAAAAAAAGAGCAAATACAGTACAGTACTGTGTTAAAGGTAAACTCCTAAAACAATAAAGGGAAAGCAGCATTTTTCTTCTGCATAGTAAAGTTTCAAAGCTGTATTACGTCAATGTCCAGTTGTAAACTTTTGAAAGAACAACCATAATGGTTTGTTCAGAGTTACAAACAGTTCAGAGTTAAGAACAACCTTCATTCCCGAGGGGTTTGGAACTCGGAGGTTCTACTGTATGTACAGCGCCTAGCACAATGGGGCCTGATCTTGGAAATTAATTAATAATAACTGTACACTCAATACACATCTCATTTCCCCCCTTTCCATCCATTACATCAGTGCTTTCCCATGAGGAAGCTGATTTTGTCTTCCCAGTTTGGAAGCAGCACAGTGTCTGCTTTGGCTCTTGTTGTTCCCACCTCGCTCACTGCAGGAGCAGCTGCAGAGTGCCCAGCGCATGGACAGACACAGGGTAATGGGACATTACAAAGGGCAACAAAACTAAAAGCACGAATTGCTTTCCCTGTATTTATTTCTGCTGAGGCTGGAGAAAAACTAACCAAAGATAATGCACGTTCACTCGAAGGAGGCTAATTTTGGCCTCCTCTCCTGGGACTGCAGGGTGGAAAATAGTCTCAAACAAAGGAAGGTTTTGTGGAGAGAGATCTAATCCCGAGTGCGCTTTCCCCCCACCCCCCCACGGAGTCTGCCAAGCGGCAGGGTGGGTGACCACAGGGAAAGGGTGGGACTAGGTTAAAAAGGGCAACTTTCAGCTAGGTTTACAGTCATGCAGAGGGCACTGATGGCTGCTGGTAAATGGGAGTTATTTTAGGAAGAAATCTGGAAAAATACGACTGCAAACACCCAAATACATGAAGGAAAAGTCGCCCAGCTGCTGCCATTTTTATACCTTGTGCAGCCTGTGGTAGGTGAGTCACTCGCTCTGAAAGAGCTAACAGGAGAGGCATGTTAATAAGAGGGACCGGGAGGTTGCCGTGTGTCCTCATGTGACCTAATGCTTCTGGGTGGTTTAGTGAAGGTGAAGCTACGTGCTTTGGGTCTCACAGACAAGGCCCCAGTCCTGCTCCTGCTGACGAGACTGGCCAGCTACTCTTGGGAACGAAGGGCTGATGATTAAGACACTAGATTAAGGTTCAAGAAACGTTCGCTCAATTCCCAGCTCGGCCAATGCACAATGGGTAATTTGCTCCATCGCTCTGTGCCTCAGTTTCCCATCTGTAACACACAGATAGAAAAATCTGTCTTGTCCATTTACATTTTAAAATCTAGCAGAGATTTTGTGTTTGTACAGCACCTAGCACAATGGAGCCCTGATTTGGGGAAGAGCTTCTGGGTGGCATTATAATGTGAATAATAAGGATCCTTCCCATTGACTGTATTAGGAGCAGGAGCAGGCCCTGTCTTCCCAGTTTGGAAGTCACAAGGTTTCTGCCCTTTTTCTTATTCAGAAGTACTTTTCAGCCAAGGATCACAAAGTGATTTACAGACATTCTCCTGGGCCTCTGAGAGGCATGCAGATAACCATGTTTTACAGACAGGGACTGAGGCATGAAGGCTCTATATGATTTGCACAAGGTGACACAGCATGTGTGAAGAACAGCTGGAAATAGAATCCAGGCATCCTGAGTCCCAGGCCCTCGCCCGGAGGATAAGATGGACAGAACTGCATCTTTATTCTTGTCTTCACACTCTTGCAGGAGAAACAGCCAGTGCTGAATCCAGGGCCTGGCCTGTAAAAAGGCTTTTAGTTTTCTTCTAAGGGCATCTATCTACCTAGGTAATTACATGACCTTATTACCGCAGAGTCTGAGCACCTACACGTATAATAGATTTAACCTCAAAACGCGGAAAGCATTCTCCATATTTTACAGCTGGGGAAACTGAGGCATAGAATGCCATATCCTCAAAGGTATTTAGGCACCTAGCTCCCACCGAAATCAATTCCCAGCTCTGGTATAGATTCCGTTGGGTATGTCACTTCGGCCCAGATGCTCAAAGGGAAATTAATGGGAGTTAGACACTTAAATACCTTTTAGGATCTCAGCCCAAGTGACTTGCCCCAGGGAGTTGGTAGAAGAGCTGAGAATCGAAACCACATCTCCTGAGTGCCAACTGAGTGCCTTAACCACAAGGCCATCCTGCTACCGTGGGTGACTTTACCAAGCGCTCAATAAAAACTAACGGAAAAAGAAAAGAACTGAAAAGATGCTGGAGCCAAACAAGGAGCAGAAAAACACAGGTTGCTGCAGCAACCATGCACACCCATGTTTACCTTCGCAAACCACTGGTGACAGTAAAATTAGCAATCAGTAATTAACCTCCATTTGACAATGCGTTTCTTGGACGGCACAAAATCCCCCTCCTCTCCAAGCCACCGAAGTCAGATTACTGGCAAGGGCAGGCGGTGGATGCAATGGATATGAATACATAATGCAATGGAAGCTTGGGCTATGGAACAGCCCTAGGAAGAACTAGATGCTGTATCACGGGGGCGAGAGTGGGCTACAGCATGTTTTAATTTGCTCAGTGCCCCTGCGTTTTCTGGGCCCTTTGCCGTGCGTTAGCAATTCCTTGGTAGCGCAGTAGGGAGAACGTAGCAAGGTAGTCTCAAGATCTCCACTGATTCAAACTGGGGCAGCTGCTCCTTTAAATTCTCAGTGAAGGAGCAGTATCTTCACGGGGTCCTAAAACCCACCATCTTTCCCCACTTGCTCTAGACCTTTAGCCCCCATTCAGCAAAGCAATTCAGCACATGCCAGATCCAACGCCCATTCCATTGACTTCGGTGGGCCATAAATCTTGAGGAAATTAATGAGATAACAGCCGATGCTTAAAGTCAAGCATGTGCTTTAGTACTTTCCTGAATTGGATGTGCCTGCTGCCACTAGTCGTGTCTCAATTACACAGCCCAGGCTCCTCATCAACCATTTAGGTAGCTCTGTCACTCCAAGATAGCGGATCAGACACTTTGCATTTCTATAGCACTCTCCCCTCCAGAGATCGTTTATGAAAAATCAAGATCCACAAAAGGTCGTATGCATGGATAGACAGAGATCACTTCACCCACCCCTTCTGAAACGCAGCCACCTCTGGTGTGGAACACCAGCTGCTGTTTAACCACACCCAAGGAACAAAGAAAAATAGTTTCCACTTACAACTGGAAAGTTTGGGTGTGATTCAAAAGTGTTGGCCTAGCTGCTCCCATTGAAGTCAATGATTAAAATTCCCAGTGGAACCAGTTAGGCCAAGGGTGAATGCCTTGGGGGGGGAAAAAAAAAACCCTTTCATTTCTAGGAATGCAGAATGTCCCTGCCTTGCCCTGGAATTCAGCCAAGAAGCTGGCGTTAACACCCTTCCTCTTTCAAAGAGTGCCAGGAGCTCTTCACTGACCACAACTGCTCAGGCCCCTCTGCTTTATGTTTTATCGGAAAGATGACATCTCCAGCAGCACCCAGTGCTGACTCGGGTATGTCTACATTTGAGCAGGGCGGTGTGATTCCCAGCGTGCACAGACATACCCAGGCTAGAGCCTAAAACCAGGCATGCATCCACAGCGGCACGGGCCACAGCGCAGGCTACCCATCTGAGTATGTACCAGGGGTCCAGCAGGATTGTACTCAGGGTGACTAATGCCCGTGCTGCCATGGACACGCTGCTATTTTTAGGCACTCAGTCGAGCTGAGCTAGCCTGGGTATGTGCATACGAGCTGGGAATCACCCCTCCCCACTCAAAGGTAGACAGACCCTCAGAGGAAAGGGCATCAGCTGCATAGGGTTGCCAAGTTTCTAATCGCACAAAACGGAACACCCTGCCCCGCCCCTTCTCAAGGCCCCACCCCTTCTCCGAGGCCCCACCCCCACTGGCTCCATCCCCCCCTCCCTCCGTCGCTCGCTCTCCCCCACTCTCACTCACTTTCACTCGGCTGGGGTGGGAGGTTGGGGTGTGGGGGGGGAGGGGTGAGAGCTCCGGATGGGGGTGCGGGCTCTGGAGTGAGTTGGGGATGAGGTGTTTGGGGTGCAGGAGAGGGCTCTGGGCTGGGGCAGGGAGTTGGGGGGCCGGGGGGATATGGGCTCTGGGCTGGGGGTGTGGGCTCAGGGTGGGACCAGAAATGAGGGGTTCAGGGTGCAGGAGAGGGCTCCGGGATGGGGCAGGGTGTTGGGGTGCAGGGGTTTGAGGACTCTGGCTGGGTGGTGTGGGCTCTGGAGTGGGGCTAGGGATGAGGGGTTTGGAGTGAAGGAGGGTGTTCCGGGCTGGGAGTTGGGGTCGGGGGGTGGGTGAGCTCTGGGGTGGGGCCGGGGATGAGGGGTTTGGGGTGCAGGAGGGGGCTCAGTGCTGGGGCAGGGTGTTGTGGGGGTGCGAGCTCTGGGAGGAAGTTTGGGTGTGGGAGGGGACGCCAGGCTGGGGCAGGGTGTTGGGGTGCAGGAGGGGGTCTGGAGTGCGGGGTCTCGGCGGCACTTACCGTGGCTCCCAGGAAGTGGCTGGCAGGTCCCTGCAGCCCCTAGGCATAGGGGCAGCCAGGGAGGTTCCGCGTGCTGCCCTCACACCCGCAGGCACTGTCCCCGCAGCTCCCATTGGTCGCAGTTCCCGGCCAATGGTAGCTGCAGAGTCGGCACTCAAGGCAGAGGCGGCGCACTGAGCCTCTCTGGCCGCCCATGCACCTAGGGGCTGCAAGGACCTGGTGGCCACTTCTGGGAGCCGTGCAGAGGTAGGGAAGGCAGGGAGCCTGCCATAGCCCTGGCCCCTACCGACCAGACATGGCAACCCTAGCTGCATAGAACCACAAACACCACTTCCGGCGACACCTGTCTCTTCCTTAGAGGTCGCCCATCCAAATATGGCCTCACTAGATTCTGTTTAGCCGAAAAGTCTGGAGGCATCATTGTGCCAGAGGTTGGTAAATTACTGAATCCTACTGCAGTCAGACCCGAAGTCGGGCTCTTGAAGGGCCTGAGATTCAGTTTGCCTCTTTAATACATGCATCCAAGGCCCCTTGGTGTAGCCCATGTGGTGACCCACTCAGTTACCTTTCTGTAGGATCTCCAGATGTTCCCAGAGAATATCTCCCACGAAGTCAGGCGCTAGCTCGAGGAAGCAGTCCTTGCCCAGAGCGCAGAGGGCAGCCCCATTCATGCAGAACTTCTGGAAATCCACATCCTTCAGACTGAACTCATTCACAGCCCACATCACCCAGTCCCGTACATGAGTCTCCGTCCACTGCTGGGGGTCTGCACCAAGGGGTCACGGGAGAGAGCCATTAATAAGACTTCTCAGGAAGTTAATAGTCAGGGATCTACAGTGGTCACTTCACCCACCCTCTGAAATGCAGCTGCTTCTAGTGTGGAACACAGCAGCTGTTCAATCACCATGTGTTACAGATACACTACATCAGTGGGGACCAAAATATCAGTAATCCCTACAACTATACAAACTGGGGCAGTGCCCCACAGATCCCACCTTTGGGTTGACATAAGTATAACGTACAATGGTGGGGAACATAATCAATTTAGCTTCATCCTGTAGGGCCGAGTGTTACTTTTGTCTGCCACTGCAGAGCCTTTCTCTGCTCCTAACCCTGGCTTGAGACAAAGTTTATAACAGCCCATGTTCTCCCTACGGGCATCAGTCTTCCAGTATCTTTTTTTTTTTTTCATTCAAACCACAAGCACCTTGCAGGTTATGCCAAAGGACACCTGACACCGTCTGCCCATAGTAAAATTAAAGGAGCTGAAAATCTCCCATGACACAATATTCAGAAGTAGAGGGTCCCTATGCTGCCTGGAGAGGGAACTCAATTAAAGGCGTATTGCTCACTGAGGTAGATGAGAGCAAAGGTTGTCTCAGCTTCTGAATGGGGTGGACAGAGATCACATAGGTCAATCTGTCAAGCAGTGGAGGAAGATATCGCCTGTGTATTCCTCCAGCCAGAGAAGCCAGGGATCAAGGTGATGGCAAGAGAGATGGAATGGAAAGAAGCAAGAGGTTTGGAGAAGAGGATATTTCAGATGAAGAAATGCCTCTGGTTTATCACGGTTTTGCCTGTTGCACAGGGCTCTGCCCATTGGGCACTACTGTGCCGTACCTTTGGGGATTCCCAGACGCTGTTGTTCTTTCGTGAAGCCGCTGAAGGTGGCCTTCAGCGCCTGGGACATCATTTCTTTACTGCTCGGGGTTAGCAAAGGCACATCTGCACATTCCATATCTGAAAGAAGCAGAGGAAGAGACAAATGAACAACTCACCGAATCTCATGCCCCACTAAGGCAGAGGATAACGGAGTTTGGAGCCACAGGAATTATACATCCAGAACTGAATCAGAAAAATAAGTGAGCCTAACAACGTGAATTTAAACCTCCACCCAGCTGCCTTATAACTTCACCCACCAACTCCCCAGCAGGATAGCATGTGACAACATATCACATCAATGCAGCACAGGTTGGAAGTGGTAGTTTTAACCTGGGGTCATGCCACTGTTTCAAGGACGTTCTTGGGTAAGGGACACTGCTGGGTTAGAAGCAATGGGCCTGATTCTCTTTTCAGTTATCCTGGTGTAAATCACTGATGTCAATGGAGTTATACCAATGCAAAAGCACATCATGACACTGATTTCCTTTGAGATCTATTGGTGAAAAGCGCTAGGCAAGAGCTAGATTTATTATTATTAAGATGGGGAAAAGTCAGACCTTAGTGTTTTTTAAACAGAAAACCACAAATCTATTATCTACACTATAATTATACCTTAAAATTGTTTACTACACATGATTTTTAAAAAAGACCTCTAGGGTCTGCTCCAAAGCCCATTGAAATCAATGCAAAGTCTCCCATTGACGTCACTCAGCTTTGGGAAATTCCTTTAGGGCCTGATCCTGAAAGATGCTGAGCGCCAGCACATCCCATTGAAGTCAGTAGAAACTGTAGGTTTCCCACATGAATAGTCCTATTGATTACAACCAGATTGTTCAGATCCTTAAAAGAGACACATGTGCTTCAGTGCTTTGCTGGACCGGGGTCTTTACATAGTACTGGAATATTCTGATGTTGTGTAGCTGAGATAGAATTCCATTGGCGCAGATGCAAAGGGGAATCTCTAGGATGGTAGACGCAGACACGCCCACTCTGGCTCTCTGATTTACAGATTTTATGTAGTATAACATCACTCCACAAGGTCTAAGGGCTGGCCATGATTGAGCCATCACAGAATGAGCTGCTGGCTACTATACAACCAAAGCGTTTCACAGACATCAATCAGTTAAGCCTCACAAGCCCCCTGTGGAACCCGGTAGCATGAAAAAGGGAAAAATAGAGTTGGCTGAACACTTCAAAGTGCCCCAAAAGGTTTTGATTAGGTGAAAACTGAAGAGTGTGGGGCGGGGAGAGGGGGGGAGTATTACTTCCCCTGAGTTGGTTTGCCCCATGCCCAGCACTTGGTTCCCAGCCACAGATCCTAGAGAAAAAGAGAGAGAGGAGGAGGTGGAAGCACAGGGAATCTTGGAAAAAGTCCCTTTGTAACAAGATGCAGCGTGACGAAAACCCAGCAGAAAAGCCATTCAAGGAAGGAGGTGAACAAAGAGCTGGAAAATCCCGGATTAACACAGAGTTACATAACGCACAATCCATACAGTGAAGCAATTGCTGAGTCAGTCACTGAGCAATGCATGGCCACCCCCACCAGAGCCAATGATGTCAGCCCAGAAATTTGGACCTTGGAATAAATCCTGGTGAGAAGCATTTATATGGCAAGAACCACTTCAGTTTTCAGGGTGGCTGCAATAAAATATATATACACCTCTACCCCAATATAAGGCTGTCCTCAGAAGCCAAAATATCTTATCGCGTTATAGGTGAAACCACGTTATATATTGAACTTGCTTTGATCCGCCGGAGTGCGCAGCCCCGCCCTCCCAGAGCGCTGCTTTACCGCGTTATATCAGGTCGCTTTATATCGGGGTAGAGGTGTATATATATTTGTTCAAAAATCCCTATCCTCCCAATTAGAGATCTGACCCTTGAAGTGCTCATTTTTCAAACACACTCTTGAAATATAATGTTACTACAGAAGAAAGTCATCATAAAATAATCGTCACCAAGCCCTTAACCCTGCTGTAGCACTGTAGGTCTCAAAGCACTTTATAGAGGCAGGTCAGGTAGATTTTACAAATGGGGAAACTGAGGTACAGAGTGGTGACATGACTTGCTTAAGGTCAGTGGCAGATGCGGGAGTTCATCTAAACGTTTTTGTTTGAACGACAAAAAGTTTTTCAATAAAAGGGAAATTTTCATGGCAAAAAATTCCATTTCTGTCAAAAAAACGGATTTTTTTTTAAATGAATTTCTGGCTCTGGTTTCCAAAAACTAAAAATTTTAGCTCTCGTTGAAATCCCAGCCAGCTCTATTGAGGCCATGTCTACACTACCACTTATGTCAGTAGAACTTATGTCTACACAGGTTACACCGACCTAAGCACCAGTGTGGACAGCGCTATATCGGCAGAGCTTCTCCCACCAACATAGTTACCTCCATAGGCACCGACTTCTACTCACGCCGGTGGGTGCTGACCTCCTTCTGCCCCCGGCCCCACCCAGACTCCACCGCCCCCTGCCCCGCCCCCATTCCAACCCCTTAGTTCCCCAAAGTCCCCGCCCCAACTCCGCCCCCTCCTAGCCCTTGGCCCAGCAACTTCCCCTGAGCGCACCACGTTCCCGCTCCTCCCCCTCCCTCCTGGAGCTTGCTATGTCAGCGCTGGGAGGTAGATGGAGGAGCGGGGACGAGGCGTGCTCAGGGGAGGAGGCGGAGGCAGCGGTGGGGTGGGGAGGGGAGCTTGGCTGCCGGTGGGTGCAGAGCACCCACTAATTTTTCCCCGTGGGTGCTCCAGCCCCGGAGCATCCACGGATTCGGCACCTATGGCTACCGCCGCCCGTTGGAGGTGGATTAATTAAGTTGACGGGAGAGCTCTCTCCCATCAGGTTAGAGCGACTACACTAGAGACCTCACAGCAGTGCAGCTGCAGCTGTGCCTGTTGTGTGCCACAGGCCTTATTACCCTTTCAAAACGTGTGAGAATTTAGGCCCCAGGTCAGCAATGCACTTCACTTTTAGCATGTGCTGAAGTCCCCCTGACTTCCATGGGAGTTAAGCATGTGCTAAGTGCTGTGTCGAACCAGGGTCTCAAGGCTAGCGAAAGGTCTAGACGGCTCTGCAGACCTGAAGTCCCCTATTCATCCACAGAGCAGATGCAGCCCAGCATCAGCCAAGCAAGCTTCCTGCTCCATTCCTGACCTGCAGGGACCCTTTCGAGGGCAGATAGGGGAACTCAGCCCTCGTGGTTAATTCAGTCTTTGGTCCCTCTGCAGAGACTGCCCAATGAGAGCCAGTTGTGGTGGTGGGTGTTTTTGGAATACAGACAGTAAGAACTTGTCTGAATGCTGGAAACTCATTTCACACAGGCCAGTCATCGGGCGGTAACAACCTCCAGTCCTCAAAGAGTCGGGCTGGATTTCAACTGGTGACCTACGCACTGAAAGGTTCTGAATACTCCATGACCATCCCAGACTGCCAACCACCCATCTTGACTGAGACTTTAATACTAAAAATAAAAGCATGTCCACAGAAATATATCAAGGGGCCGCATTATCATAAAATTGCGCTTGCTATATCTGCATGTTCAAATCCCCATCTCTGCATGCACAAATCAATCAACTTCACAAGTGCCTTGCTACAGTATTTGCACATGCAGGAGGATTTACACATGGAGATGGGCACAGGCATTTTTTTTTACAGGCACTATTTAAAGGGCTGATACTTCAATGGGATCCTCTAGTGCAGACGCCCTGTGCTTATGGGGAAGCCCTTTGAACTCCACAGAGGTCCATATTAGCAGATCCTATTGCAGGTTGAGTTCTGAAGAGCCACATTTGAGCCCACAGCCCTGCATAGAGACTGGATCTGCCCACGACCCACATATTCATCTGTGCTGTTCAGAGTGAGGATGCAAAATCCACATCCCTTTCCTGGATTCAGACACACAGCTTGGTCTAAATGCAGTCCCATCACAAACCAAACCAAACTGTTTCACTGTCTCCACCCTTGCACCTTCTGCCTTTTGTCACCACGTGCACGATGGGCAGCTGGCTCCAATAGAAGAGTCAGAGATGCTAAATCAAATCTCTTGCTTTTTAACGCCCTTCCCTATGAATCACTCCAACCAGTCACCCTGCCATTCATCTATTGCGAATGACAGAATTCCATGCTTAAGTAGCTTTTAAACTGCTACAGATACACACACACACACTCCATTCAAAATTCATGGCCTGATTCTCTGCTCACTCATGCCACGGTGTAAATCAAGGAGTTATTTTGCTGTGATAGGAGAATCAGGACCTTAGAAAACAACAGATTCAAATGCTGCATTCAGTTATTTACTGGGTTTATTAGAGAAGGCTTGAAGGAATGAACAGGAACCCTAGATATCTCTACTATCCATCTTCTGCTTTGAGATCATGCTGAGTGAAAATGGATCAATGCATCTTTCCCTTCTTTATCATGTTACTTTTTAAGGCTTCGCTTTCTGTACTCTGCGGTTACAGGGGACCGCACAGGCATACATTGTCCCCTGCCTTTAGCAGGCTGGTTACACTGCAGCTCAATGCTCTCTCTCTCTGTATGATGATTCAGGATTAACCTAAGAAAACTTCTCTAGCCTTGTTTCCCACTGAGTCAACCACGTACACATGTGCAAGGCAGAACTCTTCAGGCAACATACCGGGAGGAGGAGGGGACGTTTAGATGTGCAAAATTGTGAAACTGTTTGTAAATATTGTCACCATTTTATTACAGGCAAATTAGCATCTGCAAAGTTGTTTATAGGTGGGGTCCCCAGCCCCCTGTTCAAATGTCAAGAATTTAGGAATTCCCTATGAACATTTCGCACAAAGGAAGCTTGGTAAATTTGAGACCTGGCTCATAGCCAGGGGTCATTTGAGGAAAAAGTGGGCCCATTTTCAAGCTAAAGCAAGGAAAACAGAAACTTGCAATGTTTCTTGGTGATTTTTTTTGTATGAAACTAGATCATTGAAACAAGTACAAAACCTTAAATTTCCAAATTTGTTGTTTCAAATATGTGGCGCTGGTTTCTTTGTTGGAAGGTGTACATTAGACTCAGAGTGTGTTCTGACATGTTCTATTGTATTTTTTCCTATTGGATCTGTA